CTTACCTACTTGGTAAGTGCATTTCAAATTTTTTGTACTGAGAGACCTAAAATCTAATAGCTCCTCTTCCTTACCCTCATCAAATCCTGTTCTCAGGCAGAACCAAATGGCAGTCACATATATGACATTTAAAATACTTAGAATAGCATCTTATTCATAGTAGATGCTATTATGTGTTAGCTATTATTATTTCTATGTCACTTGCATCTCATTTTAATTTGGATTGAAAGGTTTTGTTCCTGTTAATGGAATTTGAAATATCAATGAGCAGATGTGGAGAAATATTTTGGGAGATTCCTGAAATAAGACTTTGTAGGCAGCCACCTACTCATCAAGTGTAGCATGCTTTCTCTACTAAGTAATGGCTGCATGCTCAGGCAGTGATTACCAAACTTTCACTGAATATCAAAGGAAGGAACCCCTACATGGTCAGTCGTGATGAGTTTTACGTGTGCTTTAATGTGTTCAAACATCTGTTTGTTGGACTTGAAGGCACGTGGTAATTAAATGCAGATTGGAGTATCTACCTATGAGGGAGGGGGACTGAAATCATTAAATGGAGATAATCCTACTCAATTGGCCTGATCCTCAGGCCACCTACCTCACTCCACCATTTTTGTTGATTTGAAGGTTTCTTCCATAGTTTTTTACTTACCTGTGCAAAAAATGAACAAGTAAAATTTCAATTAGAAAAAAAGGAAGTCTAGGGTTGGGGCTGTAGCTACTGGTAGAGCGCTTGCCTAGTACGCATGAGGCATTGGGTTTGATCTTCAGCACCACATCAAAATAAACAAATAAAATAAAATAATAAAGGAAGTCTAAATGCTATAATGGTCTCCATGAGAAAAATAGAAAGGAAACTAACTGTTGGGAGAAAAGGGAGAATAAAAGAAAAAGAAAGGAAGGAAGGAAGATTGACAGCCTGCATAGATTACTTATTTGTTTGGTTGTTCCTTAAGTGTTTCAAAACTCTTTTAGAATAAAAGTTGTAAGTCAAAGGGGCATACACCAGACAGATTCAGAAACTTGCCTATGAAACTAAATTATGTTTTCCCATTTGCCTACTTTCCCAGTGACATATCAGCATGACCCTGCTCTCCTGCCTCTGCCCAGACCACACCTCCTCTTTGAACAAACTGCTTGAATCAAACTCCACCCTCACTCTCATTAGGCAAGTGGAAAAAGAGCTTTCAGATGAAGAATGATGCAATACAAGTCGATTTGGAACCAGTCCACCACTGGTCTTATTACTGGAGAAGTTTTACTAGATAGAAAACCTTATCTTAGAATGCTGTTTTTCCTTTAGTTCTTGTCTCTTCAACAGGGAAGAATCCAAGTCCCCATCACAGTAAATAAATTGAGTTTTCTTTATACTTTTTCCCATTTCCCAATTTACTGCTCTTCCCCCCCACAAGAGCTTGCTAAGCTCATAGTCAAACTTCGTGTCTAAAATAAAGAGGCCTGCAAGAGAAGCTCATGTAATCCCACTCCTTAAATATCACTAAGACATCTGAGATATTGTTTAGATTGTGGACTCTTACTTTGATATGCCAGCATAGGTAGATGGACAGGCAAGCACATCAGATGTCACTGTTTGGCAGCTGATAAAAGTCAGTGGTACTATAATACTAAGCACAGAGCCACTAGATTAGCCCGTGAGGGAAGGAGATGCCTTTTCCTTCCCTTCTATAGTGGGTTAAACCCAGCTGGCAACTTCTGGAACCCCGGGTAAGTCCCTTCTTTATTCATGCTACAGTTTGGAGTTTTGCTTTTGTTTTTTGTCCAAATCAGAGGGTTGGGTCCAAAGACAATCTGCAGTTAAAAAGTCTGAAAGTCCCAATATTAAATCTTTGTTTTATAAAGATTTAAAGAGAAAGTAACCTATTCATTCCATGGAAACTGGAAGGCATTTATACAAAGGTCAGAGAGAAAGATGACTGGGTGTCATTATTTTTAAAGCATCATTTTTCCTTGAAACACTTGATCTGACTGCAATTGTGATGATGTCCTATGGTCTCAAAAATCCTCCCCCTATCTTTCGTGCAGTCTCTGCTCTATTGGAAATATTTTTAATAGTTAATATTTTTAAAATATTTTAAGTTAGTATTTTTAAAATAGGAGACTATTTTATTTATAAAATCTTTGAATTGACTCAACAATACTTGGAATAAAAGAATACTGTCTTGTAATCAAATCTCTGATAGAATTGGATTGTTGAAGAGTAACTACAAATATAAAAAAAAGACTTTTGGAGTTATCTGTATAAGTATTTGCATAAAAGTTTTTTGAGACATAGATAAAATGAAAATATTAAAAGATCATATTTTTAACTGAGCTTTAAAAAATATCAGAAATTATGTAGGTCCATCCCCAAAATGTACAAGATAGTTGACATTCTTGAAACCATATGTTTAGAGAGAGAGAGAGAGAGAGAGAGAGAGAGAGAGAGAGAGAGAAAATGTATGTAAAAATATTCTGAAAATAAGTGTAAAGAAAAATAGGAAACTCTTTTGGGAAAATATGTACTGGCTATTTGTTAAATAGTTTATTCCTTGTTACTTGAAATGAGTTACTTGAATGAGTCCAAATAATTTGTCTACCCAGAAAAGAAATTAGGAAATAAACTCTAGATTCACTTCTGCAATGGAGTGAATAAACCCGTAACTACAGAACTACTTGCCTTAAAATAGAAACCTTTTATTTGAGGAGACTGACTTAAAGCCCTCTGGATGTTTTCCCCCAACAATTTAAAGGCCTAATGTAGTTGATTTCTATAATGTTCTCTGGTTGAAGGCATTTGTGTTCATAAACTTTAAATTAAGGAATATAAATCTTTTAAGTGTCCTCTTTCAAGAGACTCTTTTGCTTGACTATTTAGTTGTATTTCATTCTTTCCTAAAAATGCCAGTTTTAATTTAACTCTAAGCTACATATACAACCTTAGAATGAAGTTGGTTTGATCTGGAAAAAAATGCTAATACTGATATTTTCTTTCAGTTTTAACTCAAATAATTATAAGACTTTGTTTCAATGATGATAAACAATTTGGTTGATTTTTTTGGTTAAAAGTTTGATTTATCATTATCTTAGTATTGTTTCATACTATGTGAAACAAACCAAACGTACTTTGAATTAAATTATCTGATATTTTGAATAAAAATAGGGTCAATGTTACAATAATATATATGGCTAATCTTTGTGTATTATGTCTATTTATAATCTTGCTTAGATTTTTCATAGTAATGAAAAAAATCAGCAGCAAATATAATCCTTCAAGGTTTTGTTGTTGTTTTGTTTTGCTTTTGTGTGTGTGTGTGTGTGTGTGTGTGTGTGTGTGTGTGCTGGGGATTGAACCCAGGACCTTGTGCAAGCTAGGCATGGACTCTTACCACTGAGCCTCATCCCCAGCCCTAACTGCTATTAATCAAGTTTACTTTTAATGGCAAATAAACAAAAAGATAAGGATCTACTACTGTAGGAAGGCAAGAAGGCTACTGCAGGGCCAAGTAAGGGAAATAGTATCATCTTTTCCAAGGACAGACTAACTTCTTAAGTGCTTTCCATCTCTACTTCCTATTTGCTATTTTAAAAGAATAAGTAAGAGAAGCTAAAACCTTTCCAAAATTAGTCTAAAAGACATCCTAAACAAGTAATAAAAGGTAAAACTCTAAGAGAACATCAAGACCAATAACTAGAAAATTTAATCTATAAATAACAGAAAAAAATTTACTAGTGGCTTTGGAATGCAGTCTGTAACTTATATACAGAGACAAGCATACACAAAGGTAATCCTTAATTACCATCTAGTTTAGCCAACTTGGAATTAAGGGGAAAGAAAGAGACAGTGAACTGTAAGATTAAAAATAAAATCCACTTGAAGTTGATAAAAAATGAGTTGTAGATGTTCACCCTACTTTGTAAAATTGAGAAAGGGCAAAAGAATAAAGAATAAATATTAAAGTCATGTTCTTCATAAATGAAGCATATTGCTTCCCTTGTTTTACCAAGATGTTGTTCATCAGAGACCATCAGGATGTTAATTAATTGGTATATCAGAAGGATAATTAATCTGTTTAGATGAGCAATGGGAAGACTTCATACTGAGCAGAGGCTGACCTTATATATTTAGCTGCTATTATTTATCTTTTTATTTATTTACTTTTTTGTGAAACTAGGGATTGAACCCAGGGACTTGAACATGCCAGTCAAGTCTTCTACCACTGAGCTACGTTCTCAGCCCTAACTTCTATTAATTTTAAATCATAAAATCTCTATGGTTAATAAATCTTCAGCATCTGGGTAAAAGTTAATTATGAGATCATATACTTATCACACTGAGCATCATCAAAGAATTTCTTTTTAAAAATAACCTCTTGGTGGGGCTGAGGCTATAGCTCAGTGGTAGAGTGCTTACCTCACACTGTGAGGCACTGGGTTCGATCCTCAGCCCCACATAAAAAATAAATAAAGATATTGTGTCCATCTACAACTAAAAAATATTTTTAGAAAATAACCTCTCGGAAAAGACAATTTTATGCTTTTACATTTTCAAGCCCCTATATAGGCTCTTACCCGGGGTAAACAAACACTAATGAATCATTTTTACCTATTCTCAGGGGGAAAGTCATGTGTGCAAAGATACAGATAAAGGAAGGGAAAGTCCAGAAGCCAGAAAGTCCTACAACCTTAAAAGCAAAAATAAATAAATAAATAAATAAAATAAAAAAGTCAAATAAACAATATTGTTTAAATAAAAATTAACAACTTAATTATTTTTTTCCTTTTGAAGGAACAATATTCATCAAGAAAAGCCCACTTCACCAAAGCCAGAAGCACACTATTCCCAAGATCCCAGCAAGGAGGGGCAGACCAAGGCTGCTTCTGATTTCTTAAGACCTTCCCTAATTCCAGACTTGCAGCCCCACATTCAGGACCCCGCCTTTCCAGGAACAAATCATTGTAGTAATCACTTGCCTTCATCTTCCATCTGCCAGCTAAGCATGTTTAACTACGAACGTCCAAAACACTTCATCCAGTCCCCAAACCCATGTGGCTCTAGACTGCAGCCTCCTGGACCGGAAACATCCAGCTTCTCTAGCCAGACCAAACAGTCTTCCATTATGATCCAGCCCCGCCAGTGCACAGAGCAAAGGTTTTCTGCCACCTCCACAGTGAGCTCTCACATCACCATGTCCTCCTCAGCTTTCCCTGCTTCCCAGCCGCTTGCTGGCTCCAACCCAGGCCAAAGGGTTACAGGCACCTATAACCAGTCCCCGGCCAGCTTCCTCAGCTCCATATTACCATCACAGCCTGATTACAGTACCAGTAAAACCCCTTCCACTGTGGAATCCAAGTAAGTGATTTTTTATATATATACTGTACGTACAGTGAACCTGTATCTGAGGTGCTTGGGGGGAGGGGGATGGATTGCAATTCATTCTGTACTATGTAAAAATGCAATGTGACCTTACAGTCTCATCCCATAATCCTCCTAGAACACATTGAACCAGAGTGCTGGCAACAAGAAGTCAATCTGATCCTTTCTCCAGTGTCCAGGCTGAGCTGAACTCAAATTACCTATTACCCCATACTATTACTTACCTATTATTTTCCATCTTCAAAAAAAAAAACAAGATTTCTAACATACCCAAGAACAGTGAACTTTTTGTTAAGGTCTAAGCTAAGTCTCTCTTGCTGTAAATTTAATTCCTCTGGTCTGGGCTCAACTGAGATGAAGAACACCTGTCTACTCTTCTTCAGATAGGATTTCCTCTCACATAAGCAAAGGCTATTAAGTTTCTTTTCAGCCTTAGGCTTTTCTTCCTATCCATTTCCCCCTCTAATCCTGAATATCTATTTGGCTCAAAGAAGTTTAAATTAACAATTTTTTTCAAAAATCTGGGATTCAGACACTCACATATATGAATTTTGTTTACCATGAGCAAAAGGAAGGCTTGTTATAGGTGAAGACTTAGGACTTTAAGGCTTCCTTTGGAAATTAAAACTTGTTAAAAACAGTATAACTTGTTTAAATTCATTGGGTGATCTAAATCCAGGGAAAAATACCTGCAGCCTTAGGCAAGCATGTACTACTTCCACAGCCTAAGACTGTCCTAGGAGAACCTGATATGAAGAAGGAAATGGTGGTTGGGCTTTTTTTAAAACATGAACTGAATACTTCATGCTTATGCATACTTAGGGCTATCAGTTTTCCTATTTCTTGGCTGGCTAGGACGTCAGAGAATTCAATCAGAGGCATCTCAAAAATTGGTGGAATATGTCTTGTTGTAGGCATATTGACACATTCCCTAAAACTCTTACTAATTTCTATCAGTCTTCTCTAAAGGCTAATTTTTCTGGAAAGTCTAGTATTGGTGACAACATTGGAAACCTAATTGAACTGAGTACACACATTCAACCTGCAAATAAACCTTTTCCATATTTCAAAAAATAATCAGAGAAGCCAAAATCACATGTTAGAATCATATGGATATTAGGCTAAAACATTTGAAATGGCTGATAGTCAACTGTTTTTGAGCTATAAAAATAGCGTTCTCATAGACCTGACCTAATTTTTTTAAAAATTGTTTTAGTTGTTGAAGAACCTTTATTTTATTTATATGTGCTGCTGAGAATTGAACCCAGTGCCTCACACATGCTAGGCAATTGCTCTATCACTGAGCCACAACCCCAGCCCTTGACCTAATATTTTTGAAGGATGCCTTTAAGAATTAAGAGCTCCTTGCTCTCTTCCTCCCCAAATTCCATCATTCCCATATCATACATCGTACATCTTTCTTGGTTACATTTACCCAGATAATCATTTTCATCTATGTTTAAATCTAAAATAATCTTTCCTGACTATAATGTTTCTCTTAGTCAAGTCTTTCCATTCCATTCCAAATGCCTGCCCAGGAAAGAAAGTTATAAAACAAATATTCACAGAGGCTCAATCATGTACCTAGCTCTGTGCACAGTCCTAAGAAGAAAGGAAGAAAGACAAAAATAGAGAGAATAAGAAAGAAAGCCTAGGAGGTCTCCAAACCAAAGATCAAAGATCCAGCTTTAGCTGTTCCATTTTCAGCAACCAGAGACACCTCTTTTAATCTTCCCATAGCTACATGATACCCGTTCTGTGTTCAGCTGTACAGGGTGGAAAGCCTGGCCCTTTGAACATTAGTGCACAACTCCCTCATTGTTATGATGGGCTCAAGTTTGCTCTGTCTTCGAAGATAATCCCTTGAATTCTGACCTAAAGAAGTTTGAAAGCTTTATTTAGCTTTTCATTGGTAGGAAGCCTGTAAGCAAACATTTCATTCAGTTAATCAAATCACACACAACGGAAATTGAGAGGAATTTCTAAGTATTCCTTCTTTTAAAAATGTGCTTTGTAATATTCAATAAGTGCCACACTTGCTCGATGATGATTCAGTTTTCTGATCTGTAACAAAATTAAGGGTTGGGCTAATTGGTGATAGAAAATCAGACTCATAAAGCTGTGTACAAATAAAATATTAGTTTATAAATAGGAACAGGTATCAACTGTTAACACTCAAGCCATCTAAGCTGGAAATTATGGGAATATTCAGTGAATAAAGTATCTGAGGTTTCAGAGATATCAGTGATTCTCAGGCTTGCTTTTGTTAATCCTCCAGGATTTCTAAGAGGTATCATGATAGTCTGAAAATTAGAATTACCTAATTCTAATTTGCTTTAACAAATGTGTGATTTTTATGAAGATGGCAGGCTGGAATTAAAAAACACACAATAGGCTAAATTTTCAGACAGCTGGAGTAAATTGAGATCTATATGACGAAAGGAATTGTGCAATTTTGGCCCAGGAATTCAATCTGGAGGGGGCAAAAAAACAAAAAGTTCACTGTTTATTTAAACACTTGGTTTGGCTATTAACTGAACGAATCAGACTTTAGTTAAGGATTAATATAGTCAAAATAAGAAAACTGAAATGGAAGGAGGGAAAATGTACATCAACAACTCCAACACATAATATCTTGAGTATAGCGAAAAACATTCACTCAGTTGACAATATCTCCTATGCCTGTGCTTAGTGAATATAAAATGATACAATGATAAGTAATAAGACACCTTTTTTTCTTCTTCAATCTGTTTACAATCTAGTGATTCCTAATCAAGACTCTAAAGACAGCTCAAGTGAAGTCTGGCTCCCCTGGGAGGAGCTACATATCCATTTAGCCCAGAAGTTCTTTTAATGATCCTTGTGAATATTTGGACTGGAACATGTCAGAGAACAGACCAAGGTTGTCACATTTGTATAACTAGGGAACATTCATTATGATCATGGCAAAATACTCATTAGGGCAGTGGCCAGTTTTCCCATGAAGGAATATTTGTGGGCTAGTCCATATTATTCTGCATGAAATATCCTAATTTTCCATATATTTTGTGTTTTTAATAACACTAGTAGTTCTTTGTGGTGCTCTCACCATATCTGCAGATAACTTACATAATGAAGTTGATTCTATTTTTTTAAATTTTGAAGTTTTTTTCTTCTTCCTTTATAAGCTATCAACAATCATCGGTTGGTCAACCTGTAAATGCTAAGCCATCCCAAACTGCAAATGCTAAGCCCACACCAATGACTCCTGACCATGAAATACAGGGATCTAAAGAAGCTTTGATTCAAGATTTGGAGAGGAAGCTGAAATGCAAGGACACCCTTCTTCATAATGGAAATCAAGTAAAGATGTCTATTTTGTACAAAAGACCAATTAAACTATAAAAATCTAATTTCAATAAGAAAGTTATTTCTATCTCACAGATCTTTGTTCATATAAGCAACAAGGAAAAGGGTTATCTAAAAAGAAGGAATATTTGTGGGCTAGTTCATATTATTTTGCATGAAATCACTGATTGGTTTTCAATAGTAAAAGAATAACTCTAATGAAAAATCAATCTGAATGATTTAATGAAAATTTTGTTTTAAGCATCACCCTCATAAAATGTCTGATGGCCAAATAATGAATAGAAAATGTTGTCAACCCAACTTCTTCATGTTCTTTGTTATATAATATTGATGGATAAATACATCAAGCTATAATTTTTATGTAGCACTTACAGTGTACATTGGTATTATCACTGATCTTTGAAACAGTGCTATCTCCTTTTAATCCAAGTACATTTAGCATATCAGTTGCACTGGTATCAATCAGAAGTGTGTACAATCAAATAATCAGTGTTTCATTTAATAAAAATTTATTTTTGAATGTGAAGTTATACAGTACTATATTTTAAAAAGAAGGAGACTAGAATATGCAAAATAAGGAGGAAAGGAAAGATTTCCCCCTTACTTTGGAGGGCCTTATCTAAAGGTGATTATGCCTGTCTTTCTTAGGAGCAAATAGAAATCCTACAGGAATCTTTATTAGACATGAGAGAAATAGTACAAAGATGGAAAATAATGTTTTGAATGGCTTAAAACATAGAATCTATCATTCAATGGACAGAACCATGCTTCTTTGAAGTTCTGACTTACAGTAGTAGTTTTAAGGTAAATCTGTTTGAATACCTTGTAGTAAATCTGATACTCATCTTCTACTGACTTCTTTAAAGCGACTAACATATGAGGAAAAGATGGCTCGCAGATTGCTGGGACCACAGAATGCAGCTGCTGTATTTCAAGCTCAGAATAGTGATGCACAGGATTCACCACAGGTAAATTAAAATAACCTTTATCTGAGTGAAACTTTTTTCTTTCTTTCTTTGTTTTGTTATTCAGATAGGTTCATGCTATGTTGCTCAGGCTGCCTCAAATTCCTGTGACTACAAACACAGATCACGACACCCAGCTTAAAGCACTTTTATTCTGTGAAATTTTTAAATGTCTGCTTTTCTAAATGCTTATAAACAGCACTGCAAATAAAAGCCAATCACTTCCATTCTCCATTAGAATATACAAAGGCCATCATGGATGGTGAGTGGGTATAGGTGCCCGTGTGAAATTTTACCACATTTTCTGTAGTCCTAATGTCTGCAGATGAGCTGACATAAAATCAAAACACCAAGCTGATGATATTACATTTTATCTGGACATTTAAGGGTCAATTAGACCTAGGATTCTTTCTACAGGGACAGAGACTTGGTGTTGTAAATCTTTAACAAGACAAAAGTTAAAGCTCAAAGTAATTAAAACCTTTTCTCATAAATGTCAATCATCTCAATGTTTTAAATTATACTCCTAGTATTAATGAAATGTTCAATCCCTTTTGTCATGTTCCTGTATTTAAAATAAAACAAAACAAAAAACTCTTACAAGTAATGACTCTCAGATTAACAAAAGAATCCTTTGCACGAAGAGGTTAATTTTACAGAGGACATAAAACGAATATCCCATAGGATTGTGTCTGACCAATCTGTTTTTAATGATTAACTTAACCTAAAGGAAAATATACAGTTGAAGAAGCAGCTAGGCAAGTGCTCTACCACTGGGCTACATCTTCAGTCCTTTTTGTTATTTTTATTTTGAGGGGGGGGGGTCTCCCTAAGTTGCTCAGGCTGGCCTCAAACTTGGTGATCATTCTGCCTCAGTATCCTGGGTCACTGGGATGACAGGCCTGTGCCCCAAGATCCACATATCTTCCTTTTATAATTAGCACTAATGCCCTACAGAAAAGTCCACAAGAAACTGGGACCCATGGAAAGGAAATGGGAAACTCAAGAATTCCAAGCTTCCAAGTATAGAAAATTGAAAATCAGGTTTTGGTTTCTGTTAAATGCAATTAGACCTATGAAAAAGGATGAGCACAATCGAATAAATAAAAAAGTAAACATTGAAGATAGAACTTATATCTCATCTTGGTGACTGCAGTTTGTTCATTCATTAATTCAGCATATTTACATGGAACACCTATTAGTTATTGGGCTCCAAACTTGGTGCTGGAAATTACAACAAGAATAAGACACAAACCCATCTGTATAGTAGAAATTACTCAGAGCAACATTATGTTGATGACAGTTTATCTTATAAATGCACAGTATATTATTTCAAGGGTGAGAATCTATTATTTTCTCATTCATTCATTCATTCTTTAAAACCTTTAAAATGAAGCCAAAAGTACCAGAAAAAAAGAACAATATAAATAGCATTCGGAATCAGAAAAGATAACTCTTACTTCAAATACTATACCTAAATAATACAAAATGTCATCAAATTATGGTACAACAGAAATACTTCATCTCTGAATACAATATATTCAAACCACAGCCAAAACAATTTGAATAATTTTTAACCAAAAAAAATATTATTGGATTTTTTGGATCACTGAAATGAATAGTTGTTTTGACATTTTAAAGAACCTTAAGCCTAGCCAAAAATTGTTAGAATTGTTAAGACTTGTTTAAAAATGACAAGACAGGGGCTGGGGTTGTGGCTTAGTGGTAGGGCACTTGCCTAGCACTTGAGAGACACTGGGTTCGATCTTCAGCACTACATAAAAACAAATTTTAAAAATAAAGTCATTGTGTCCATTTATAACTAAGACATATTAACTAAAGAGATTCATCCCAAAATATATTTTTTATATTGAGATTTTCTATGTTCCCATATGGATTATTTCAGGAATTTGGACAGGGACTATATATTTCACTGCTTTTTATCTCCCACTGTTCCAAGAACAGTAAAATACACAAAAGTGTCCCTAAATATATAATTAATTATATTATAATTTCCATCAATTTCTGACTTTTTTCTCAAACAGAAATAATTTTCTGATACTTGGATATAAATCCTAAAAGATATTTGCTTAAAGTAAATATATCTTTATTAACAGGAAGTTATCCATGCTGGTTTTCAAAGCTTTCTTTTACAGTTTTACACCTATCTCCAATGGCAACCCATAGGACTTTGTGACACAAGCTATAAAGAGAAGTATTTTCCAGTCTAATGTGTGTTTACTGATGTTGGTGCCACTTTTGAGCAGCAGGCATAAGACCCTGTATCTACTGCCAACAAAAGTGACTTCATGTCTATTCCTGTTTTACTCAAGGACAATCTGTCCCATGTGCTCCCATTTCAAACACATCAGGGGGATCACATCACCCTTTGTCACAAAATAGTTATATTAAAAAATGAACCCTCATCAATCCCAAGTGTAGCTAATTTTTATAAATAATACCTGTTAAATAGTCCTATTTATTGTAGGCATTTCTTGCTAGAGTAAGAAGTTTGCAGTCTATTTAAAATGTTTAAAAATTGAATATGTAAAACTAACCATGACTGTACAAATACAGCCAAATAGACAAGTTCTTTTCAACTACAACTGCTTAATTCTGCTTCATGTTAAGCTAATACCTGTGTATTAACATTCTTACTATGTTTTGATTTCAAGCATCACAACCCAGAACATGCACGACTGCAGGTTCCTACATCACAAGTAAGGTAAAAAAAAGTTTAACATTTTTGATGTTTTGCTACCTAGAATATTTTTAGCTTAAAAATGTAATATTTATAAAACCCTCAAGTTTACTACTTTACTTCTTAAAACACAATGTGAATTTTCTCATGTCAGAGATGATGAGCCAAAATTTTATATTAATAGTAATTAAATTTTATATTAATACTAATTAGAATTAATTAATTAATATTAATCATATTTATATTGAGGAAGTTTTTTTTAATGTTTTGGTAATATAGGCCAAGATTATGTTTTCTTGTTAAACGACTTTCTCATGACAATGAGAAATTGTCCAAATTCTAATAAATCTTTGCAGATGATAAGAATAATCTATGGAGCACTCATAGATCAGCTTCTTCATTAATTCAAGGCAATCATTTCCTGCAAAAACGTACCAAATGTTTGAATTGCTACCATTTCTAATAGTCCAGCCCATTGTTACTATACTAACAAATCAAACAGTAGGTTGGGCTTTCAAACTTCATGACCAAACTATACTTGTATGACAACATTTATGCATGGTTATTATTAAAATGTTTCTGTAGAAGCAGATCATCCTCAAGAGGAGATGTGAATGATCAGGATGCAATCCAGGAGAAATTTTACCCACCACGTTTCATTCAAGTGCCAGAAAACATGTCAATTGAAGAAGGAAGATTCTGCAGAATGGACTTCAAAGTAAGAGAAGAGTTTAATATTCTGGGGGAAAATTGACCATGAGATACCAAATTTTGAAAATTATATTTTCTTCCTACTGTATAGCTTGGTACACAGCTTGAAAAGTAGAGTATGCTCCACTATAGAAATCAGAATGCAGGGGCCTCAAAAGGCTGGGAATGGAACCACCATATGACCCCGCTATAACACTGCTTGGATTTATCCTAAAGAATTCAACTCATCATACTATAGGAATACACGCATACCCAAGTAGCACAATTCATAATAGCCAAACTATGGAACCAGCCTAGGTGTTCATAACTGAATGAATGGGTAAAGAAAATGTGGCATTTATATACAATGGAGCTTTATTCAGCCATAAAGAAGAACAAAATTATATCATTTTCAAGAAAACAAATGGAACTTAAGAATATTATGTTAAGTGAAATGAGCCAATCTCAGAAAAAGTCAAAGGTTGTAGTTTTTCTCTCATATATAAAAACTAGAGAGAAGAAAAGCAGGTGAGGGAGACAGAGTTCTCATGAAAATAGAAGTGAAACAGTAGAGTAGAGGAAGGGGACCAGGGAGAGGAAGGAAAGGAGGTAAAAGGGAAGTACAGGGGAATGAAATTGTATGCATATATGAACATGTAACAACAAAACCCACTAATATGTATATTTATGATGCACCAATAAATATTTTTTGGAAAGACAAAAATTCCAAAAAAGGAAAGGGAAAGAACGGAAAAGTACTACATATAAATAAATAAGAGCACAAATTCTGGATCTGAACTGATTTGAGTTTGAATCCTGACTCTGACTCTGCCTCTTTTCAGCTGTGTAAACTTAGACAAGTCACTTAACTGCTGTCTTAGTCAGCTGTTTCATTGCTGTAACCAAAAGATGTGACAAGAACAATGAGAGAAGGAAAAGTTTATTTGGCATTCATGGTTTCAGAGGTCTCAGTCCCTAGACAGCCAACTTCATTGCAGTGGGCCCAAGGTGATGCAGAACATCTAGGCAGAAGGGTGTGACAAAGGAAAGCAGCTCTGGACATGACAGGAAGGAGAAGGGAGGTGGGGGGAGAGGGAGAGAGAAGAGGGGGGAGATTCTCTTATCAGGGGCAAAATATATACCAAAGGCCATTCCTCAGTGTCCTCCAGGCACACCCAACCTCCCTATAGTTACCACCCAGTTAATCCATTCAAGTGAATTATGCACTGATAAAGGTCAAAGCTTTTGTAACCCAATCATTTCCCTTTGAATTTTTTAATTTTTTTAATTTGTTCTTTTTAGATACACATGACAATAGAGTGTATTTTAACACATTATACATACATGAAGTATAACCTCCCATTCCTGTCACTTTGAACTTTCTTGCATTGTCTCAGATGTGAGTTTTGGGTAGAATATCTCCTATCCAAACCATAACAACTACTCTGTGCTTTTGTCTCCTCTTCTGTAAAACGGGAATGACAAAGACACATACCTTATAAGCTTATGATGATTCATTGAGTAAATAGGTATACCCTATTAATACTCTATATAAACCAAAGGTCTCATAACAGGAGGAGTTCTAAAGTATGATGCAGCTCTAATTCTCCTCCATCAAAAAATTTAAGCCACCCTGCTTTCTATTGGCCTAGAAGAGGTGTTTATTTTGTTTTAGGCTAGAACAGCTCTTTAGAAAAGACTACATTTTTATTATTCTCATTTTGGAGACTTTATTCTTAGAAAATGCTTTTTTTCAGATTTCTTATCAATAAAAGTTAGTGCTAAGGCTTATCCAAAAATATTTAACAAACTGTAGCTGAAGAATGCTGTTTTTGAAAAGTTACTCATTCAATCAACAATTAGATAAGTGCCTCTGGGACTTCCTTTGCAGTCACATTCAGCCAGAAAAGCCATACGACTTCCATATTCCTTGGGGAGACCAACGTAACATAAATTAATGTTGTCAATATATTAATTAAGATCGTAAAGAGCCTGAGGTTGTATATGAAAGTTAGATGTGACCTGAGCTAGTCTGAAAATAATATATTAACTTCATGGGTTTTAATTCCACTCTTTCATTTTTTTAAATTACAAATAACTTTTCAAGCTCTTGCTTTGCATTTTTGATCACAAACTCACTCAGATACTGAAATCGTTAAAAATTCCTAAGTGGACAAGTAGGTTCCCATGATGCCATACTTTTAAAATTCTGTCACGCCCTGCGTTTTTGTTTCTAGGTGAGTGGGCTGCCGGCTCCTGATGTGTCATGGTATCTAAATGGAAGACCAGTTCAGTCGGATGAGTTGCACAAAATGATAGTATCTGAGAAGGGTTTCCATTCACTCATCTTTGAAGTGGTCAGAGCTTCAGATGCAGGGGCTTATGCTTGTGTTGCCAGGAACAGAGCAGGGGAAGCCACCTTCACCGTGCAGCTGGATGTCCTTGGTAAGACTGAAGAGATCCTTCAAATCCAGTAGTACCAAAGAAGTATTTAAGAAAAGAAATGAAAAGCCCAGAGGATTTCATGCTCCAGGTTGATGTCTACCCAGCCTAGAAGAATGCCAATTTTTATCTACAAGAACAACAATTTTTAAAAAGACATTTTGAGGGAAAATCAGTGAAATTAGAATGACAGATCTACCATAAAAGCTTTTCTAGAAAAGAAATCATAAAATTTTAGAAAGACTAAATTTGAACCTATGGGGGTTCAAAGTCAAAACTTTATATTATTTATCTGGTCTAAAATGACCAACCTGATTCATGTTATTACAGAACTGTCATAAACTATTGTAATTTTAAATGAGTTAATGGCAATATTTATTTATGCTGGAGATTGAACCCAGGGGTGCTTTACCACTGAGCTATATGACCCCAGTCCTTTAAAAAAAAAAAAAAAAACTTTAAAAATTTTATTTTTTATTTTGAAACTAAGTTGCTGAGGCTGACCTTGACCTTGGCGATCCTCCTGCCACAGTCTCTCAAGTTACTGGGATTATAGATGGGTATCATCATACCTGGCTAAATGGTAACTTTTCTAGGAAATCAGTCTCTAATTATAACAAAAATATATTCACTTGTTTTAGTAAACAGGCATGACAAAACTTATACCTCAAATTTATTTTTGGTAGAAGAGTTCTTAAAAAAACTCATGTTCTGTTTTACAATGTAAGTACTTTAAACATACCACATTTAAAATGGTATTATCATATATGGGATATTTTGCCTTAATTCACTGTTTATTATATAAAATACTTGATCAGGTTAAAAGACATTTTGAGTCTGTATTATGTCAAAATTAAATAAAAATCTTTTTAAATATTTTTCTATGATAGTCTGAAAAGGCCTGAAAATCTAAGAGAAAATCTAGTGACCTAGGAATAAAACATAATATATACATAATTCAAGTGATTAAACTTTGGTCAAGTCTATTTGTGCTGATAGCATCAGAAATTCTGTATTAGAGCTCAAAGAGACCATGGCTGGCATCTGTCCAGTCTCCTCATTTCTCCTTCAGAAAAGCCAAAATTAAAGTACTCTACCATCACTTTTTCCTTCACTCATGTGCTTCCCAAAGTCATAATAATTACAGATATTTGTCTATTTTTTAAAAAAAAATTTGTAGTTTTAAATGAACAAAATGCCTTTATTTGTATTTTTATGTGGTGCTGAGGATGGAACCCAGTGCCTCACACATGCTAGGCAAGTACTCTGCCACTGAGCTACATGCCCCCAACAGCGAAGATGAACCCAAGTCTAGAACTATTACCACCACGCATGCTACTTCCCTACAGATCAATGACTTAAATTCTTTGAATAAAACATAATTATAAATTCAATTAGTCATTATATTACAATTAAAGAATTCAACATCATGAAATAGTAATGTATGTTGTAGCATTTTAACTAAAACAAAAAAAGTTTCTAATTCTGTTGCTGCTTTTAAAAACTTTAATGTCAACATACACAAGTTTGATTTATATCATTTTATAATATTCCAAACACTTGATTTTTTTTATTAATGTGTAGCAAAAGAACATAAACGAGCACCAATGTTTATCTACAAACCACAGAGCAAAAAAGTTTTTGAGGGAGAATCAGTGAAACTAGAATGCCAGATCTCAGCTATACCTCCACCAAAGCTTTTCTGGAAAAGGAATAATGAAATGGTACAATTCAACACTGACCGAATAAGGTAGGATAAGTATTTCTAGATTTGCCTAGAGTTGATTTGGATGAATACAGTTATACTTTAACATACATTATAAATGGCATGCAATTATAGTCTCAGTTTGTCTAATTTTTTAAAAATGCATATAGAAATGTAATGAAAATTCATTAAGTTAGAGTCCACTAATCCGAAATTTTAAATAGCCTAGGATTTACCTTTGTATTAACAATGAAGAAAGATGGCTGAAGGAAATATATAACAAGATGAATGGGGATGGCTTTTTTTTGTGTGTGGTGCTGGGTATTGAATCCAGAGCTTTCTACTTAGTAGGTGAGCACTAAGCTACACCACAGGTGACATGTTTAATTCAAGAAAACCAATAGCTATTTGGCAATGATCAGATACAGCCTTGGAATTTTCGACTATTTTTCTTCTTATTAGTCTGACTTGGTAGGTCAGAGACATCCTTAAACTTTCACCAAAAAAAAAAAAATTAATTCCTATATTTGTTTGTTGTTCATTTAGCTTATATCATGACAATTCTGGGAGAGTGACTTTACTGATAAAAGATGTAAACAAGAAAGATGCTGGGTGGTATACCGTGTCTGCAGTGAATGAAGCTGGGGTGACCACATGTAACACAAGATTAGATGTTACAGGTAAGTCGGGCTATCGACCCCAATGCTAGAAAGAATCTAACCAGGAAGATTTAATAAGAAACACCAATCTCAGTATAGTATAAATCCTAAGGGGCTTTCCCCATAATATTCTTTTTCTTGAAAGTCTGATTATGAATACCAAGTGTAACTGACTTACTTGTTTTAGAATAGGTTTTCTGAATTAACTTTTATTTGATCTATTTCAGCCCGTCCAAACCAAACTCTTCCAGCTCCTAAACAGCTGCGTGTTCGACCAACTTTCAGCAAATATTTAGCACTCAATGGGAAAGGTTTGGATGTGAAACAAGCTTTTAACCCAGAAGGAGAGTTTCAGCGTCTGGCAGCTCAATCTGGACTCTATGAAAGTGACGAACTTTAATAATTTTACCAACATTGGAAAACACCACTACACTATTAGTAATGCATTTAATTACATTTTTGAAATAAACCCATAGCTGTTTTAACAGATTATGGCTTTAACTAGGTAATGTAAGTAATATACATTCATAATATTATTTATCCTTTGATTCTTGCACATTCTATCTACTTCTCTGATTTGCGAAGCCAATGGTAAAGTCTGGCTATATGGATTTGTACTGTAGAAGACAATCTTAAAATGTGGGAACTTAACATTTAAGTCATATGCAGTTAACATTTACAGGTTATGAATTAATAACTTTTAAACACATCGACTGTTTGCATTAAGGTTTACTGCTAGTGCTTTCTACATAGTCTTACCTGTTTTCTCTTGTAGGAATACTAACATGACATAGATTATCTGAGTGTTCCATAGTTTTATGTCAAAAAAGAATAAACTTCAAATAGTTAAAACAGACTGTCTCCTCTTCATCAAAGTATAGACCTTCATAATAAAAATCAGCAAAAACTACAAATAATCAGTTCCAAAAGGGCAACAGTACTATTTCCTAGAACAGTGTGAAATTCACGGCTCCTAAAAGTGAACTGGACTTTCCATGGCTTATGTTTCAAAGGAACCACAGAAATTTAAATCATGACTGAATTTCTCCTAGATTTGTAATTCTGTGTTCACAGAATAGGTCTCTAATCCTCTGAGATTTTTGCATCCACTGAGTTCAATGGGATAAAAGTTTCTGAAGGTCATCTGCCTAATTCTTACATTTAGTGTAAATTTGAATACCTATATTTGGGTTTTTCCCCTCCCACAATTTCAAGCTCAAATAACCTATTATATTAGACAACACAATTTTATTAGTCTCTGAGAGTCCAAGTACAGGAAAGCACGAATTCTTTTTATTAAACAATATTAAACTCAGACAATAGCTTTGTCTTGCTCAGAGGCCTCTAGTCCCTTGGAGGTCAGGCCTTTCACTCGGCCTCTCCTGTTCCTTTCATCAATAATAGTTTTTGCCAGTCACTACTGCAGTGGCCTGGTTTTGCTTTTTATCTGTTCATAAAACAGTGTTTATCAACACCACACTCCACTTCTTTCAGGGAAATAACAAAAGTGGCTTTATCTTTTACTTTCAAAACAGCTTAGTGGTTTTCTTTGCAGCCTCCCTAGAGCCTTTGGAAAGAATTCTCTTTTATTTTCCACTTTACCACTATAAGAATCCCTCCTGTCTTATATCCTAGTAGGCTTTGGGCTGCCTTAATGTACAGCCAAATTTTCTTGGTCTTTTCTATAGCTTGTTTACAAACCTCATCTTTGCAAATCTTCTAGGCCAGGTGTGGAACCCCAATCCCCAAGGACCATTGTCTTTGCCCACTCTTTCATATAACCACTGGTTTTGTTTGGTCTTTTAAATCTTTTTTTAAAAAAATATCTATTTTTTAGGGTTTTTTTTTTTTTTTAGGTGAACACAATATCTTTATTTTATTTGTATGTGGTGCTGAGTATTGAATCCAGTCCTTCACGTGTGCTAGGCAAGCACTTTATTACTTGAGCCACAACCACAGCCCATAGTCATTTAAATCTTGTTTTGGTTTTTGAGTCTTATTCAGAGCTGGGTGAAGGGAGTGGAAACTATTTCTGGCAACACCTCTTGTTTAATAACAACCACTTCTTGCAAGTAGCCGCAGGACGAGAGGTCATGGTAAGGCATATGGGCTTTGGTGTTCAGTACGCTGTGACCTGACTTTGGGCAAAGTATTTTATCTCTCAGCACCTCAATTTCTTCAGGCCTTTAAATGAGGACAAAAACTCTAATGTTTCAGGTAGGTGGATGTGAGACTAAACAAGGTAGTGAATGTGAAAGGTACTCAAGAAAGAGAAGCCTGTTAGAATTAATCACACAATTTTTCAAGCTCTCAACTGGAAGTCGGTTTCCAAGGTGGAGGAAGGAAATACTATCTAAGGGACCTTCTTTCTGCATTCTCTAGCATTCTGTTATACTATGGGGCAGCCAGGAAAGGAGCTTGCCCAGTATGCAGATTCAGTCCTGGCTAAATTGGAGAGTTTGCTAAGACACCTCCGCAGCTACTTTCATGCCCTTTTCTTCTCTGGAGACCAGCGCTTTTACTTTTTCTTCTTCTCCTTCTCCTTCTCCTTCCTCCTCCTCTTCTTCTTCCCCTCCTCCTCCCCCTTCACCTCCTTCTCCTTCTCCTTCTCCTATAAAACCTGCTCTCAGAAGAGTCTGAACTGTACTCACAAGGTATCATATTGGCCACAAGTATCTGTGTATAAATAGGGAGTAAACCTTAAGGCAAAGTTAGGGCTAGAATGACCAAGGCTGGAACAGTCTCCACACCTTGACTAAATACCTGGAAGGAAAGCTCCAAGAGAACTTTAGCTGTAATAAAAGATTTTACTTCATAAACTCTGACCTTGAGGATGTGGATGTCTTTATGTATTTGTGGATATCTCTTTCCTCTTACAAAAAGCCTTACTTTTTGTACCTCTATTTCTCTCTTTATTTCCTTCTTTTTCTTTTTATTATTTTCTCTTAATAGGCTATAATATATTGAAAAAACTTGTTAGTTGTTAGCTTTGTCAGACAGTGACATTTTCTAGATATTTTATCTTTAAAGTAAAACAGCACACACCTGGAATCCCAATGGCTCAGAAGGCTGATCACAAGTGTGAAGCCAGTCTCAGTAACTGAGGCTGGCCCTAAGCAATTTAGTGAGACCCTGTCTCAAAATAAAAAAAATTTTAAAAAGGGCTGACGATGTGGCCCAATGGTTAAGTGCCCCTGGGTTCAATATTCTAGGTTCAAAAAAAAAAAAGAAAGAAAGAAAAAAAAAGAAAAGGAAGAAAGAAAATTCGTAACTTCAAATTCAACATATATGAAAAAATATGGAATACTTCACTAGTCTTATAGAAAACAGAAAAGGAATAAAAGGGAAAAAAGAGAGAAAAGATAGTAAAGATAAGACCTAGATAAATTCAAATGTACCAAAATCACTATAGGAGACAATTGAATAGAACTCATTTATTAAAGGATCAAAAACACCCATTTCATTTGTAGCAAGCAAACAATTAAAACTACATAGGTCTGAGGCTGGCAGTATAGCCTCATGGTAAAGCACTAACCTATCATCCACAGGGCATTGGGTTTGATCCCTAGCACTGCAAAAATAAATAAATAAATAAAAACAATACCCTAAAGTTCAAGATGCGCATACAAAATCATCCAGAAACTTGAAAATAAAAGTAAAAAAAAGATGTAAGAAATACAAATGAAAAAAAAAAAAGACTATGCAGAAATGTTAACAGCATTTAACAGACTTAATAGAAAGTGAATGGAATTAGAAACAAGAAGTGTCATTTGGAATAAAAAGTAAAACTCTTTAATGATAAAAGAATTATGTACTGGAAGATATAACAATTAAGAACTAATATTTCAACATAAATAAAGGGAAAAATCATAGAATTAGTATGAAGAAGTAAATCTTAATCAAATGAGATCTAACATTCCTTTAATTGACAGATGAAGCTGGCCAAAAAATAAAAATAGTAGAGAACTACAGAGTAGAGCTTCCCATTGGATGCACCATAAGGCATTGATCCCATTAAGTCATACAGTGAGTGGGCAGAACAGGGTCTTGATGGCTGAAGTCTCTGCACTGTGACAAATCGCATGAACATTAACTAAGCAAGGATGTGGGAGAAATGAGAACTCTTGTGTATTACTTCTGGGAATCTAAATTATTGCAACCATTTTGGAGAGATATTTGGCAAAATTAAAGTTGAAGAAAAACACACCCAGCAACTCTATTTATAGATATATATCAGAAAAACTGTCATATAAGTGCATAAGTAGATATGAACGTGAACATTCTTTGCAGCATTTTTTTATGCCTGGGAAATAGTTTAGATGTGCAACAGTAGAAAAATAGGTTTGCTAAAGTTAAATTTTACATTGAAGTTAAAATGGATTATCTAGAGTATAGTAAAAATGAGACAAATTATAAATACATATTGTGAAGAGGAAAAAAGGAGATTGCAAAATGAGTATGAGAACATTTAAAATTTTAAATTATGCACAACAATTAGGTCATTCATAGACACATATGAATGTGGTAAAATTCCGAAAAAATGCGTGAGACTGACATACAAAAGTATTTATAGAATGATCAACCAAGAAAGGGAGAGAAAAAATTAGAAATAAATTTCCAAACTTTTAGTTTTAAAAATAAATAGGATTATAGGGCAAGTGCTTCTAGAGTGAATTCCATACTCTGTAAATAAATATACTTATAGGATAAGAGTAGGCTTACTAAAGCCAAGTTTACATAAATCTAAGAAAATAATCTGAAGTCACTAGAATGCCACAGATACATGTATGTTATCAGTGTTCAGAATTGCTGCTGCAGTTGTATCAACAGGCACTAATTAATTTATATTCTTGGGAAATCTGGCAAATGGAAATAATGTGTTGCTTTTTGTTGAGTTTTCTTTCATTTAATGGTCACATAAACACACTCAAAGGTTAGCATGACTTAGGTAGAATTAATCAGTCTGCAGTCTCATCTTTTCTAAATGACATCTCTGCAAGGTATTATGGAATGTTCCAAATGAAGAGAAAATATTTTCCCTACTTTCAATGAACTTCAAAATCTAATTTTACAGATAGAGCCAACAGAGAAAAATAAAACCAACTGTTGGCTACCTTGTATGTCACATATTATAAGAATTCAGAAAAGCTGAAGACCAGGATTGGCTCTGGTAGCAGTAGGTGAAGCTTCATGAAGTAAGTGAAATCTGAGTTGGGATTTCTAAAATGAGAAGAATTTATTCTGGTTCAGATACAAAGTTTAAAAGTAAGACTTTCCTCAGGCTGTGTAATTTACTTTTTTTTAATTGTCAGTGCAGGAGATTTTTTTTTTTTGATAATTGAAATAAAATTAATCTCACAAGGGCTGGGATTGTAGCTTAGTGGTAGAGCACTTGCCTAG